AATAAGTACAGGTCTGGGTTTATCTTTGGCACTAACTCAATGGGCGAGCATTGCAAGTTCTCGAACGGCGGGAAGGTTAAAGGCCCGGCAATTCTACCCTCTTGAATCTCCTTTTGTAGTTTCGCTCTGACTATTGCAGGTTGTGATGTGGTGACTGGAGGCTGACCGGAGGCAGCCCGCATCCCTACGAATCCAGGGACCTATGTATCCAAGAGAAAATCTTTTGGAAAACCCCTTAATCAAAACTTCTTTGTCAACCTCATTATCATAATCGATAAGTAAAGGTACGCAATACCGAAAGCTTAACTGGAGTTAGGAGAACGAAAACTATGCTTTGGCTATGTGGGCTTGAGCATCCCTTGAGATTCCTTGAAATTGCCCAGTGATGGATCGCTCGGACCCACGTCAGTATGTGACTTTCCTTTACTCAACTTTGACATGATTATTTGGGAATTTTTGTGGCTGCCTTGAACTCGGCACGTTTGAGCAGTGTCCCAAACGAGCACACTTTGCGCATTTGTGTTGATACTTACAACCAAAAAACTTGCAACCATTCAGACCGTTGAACGCAAAGCACAAACCAGTAATGGTCCCCGGGCGCAATGGGAGCCAACTTGCAGTTGAGGCAGGTGCCAACGCAAAGGATGCAACTGTTAGCCACAACTCGACATCGATTTCACCCCGTGACCGAGTAGGCTGACCTAGGCTGCCAGCCACAACCCAGAAAGTAGACTGAAGCCGTGTGTACGGTGTACTTGAGCAATTCAAAAACGCAGGTAGGAAACTTCACCAAATAGATTGTCATGAACTTATGGAATGCTGCAACCCATTTATCCCAAGAATCGAGCGTATTTTGGCGGCTGGACTTGAGCTGATATGGCCGCAAGAACATTTTATCATTCTCAATGACCAGTGCAACTTCAGCAGCCTTGCCCAACTTGGCCAGTACATCGGACGCACCATCCGCAGACAATAGTGACATATCGACGTACTCTTGCCGCCATATTGTTTCCTTTAGATTTTGAGAAACGTACCCCCCCAATAAGTGTGGTGGACCCAATGTCGGGAATGGCCTGGGGATGAACTGATACCCCATCAAGCAAAATACCTGGTGCACTACTGAAAGGGGAAGCTGAAAGCCCCATCTGGCCGTCTGAACCACTGCTTCTGGCACCGGTCATAGCATTCAACGTAAACGAAGGGGCCGGTAGGGTACTTAGTGACAACTGAGGGTATGGATAGGAGGCCGAATATATAGGGAGGCTATTAATATACATGTATAATGTGGGCTCATGAGTCGCGAAACCTGGGCTCTGAGCAGTAAGATTCCCACCGGAAATAGTGGATGTCATTATCGCGCTTGGTGAAAAGACCAAATTGTTCTGGCTGATTGCCCCAGAAGCAGTACTACGAGGTACACCAACGAAACCCATAGCGAGACTACACTCACCCGGCCCTTGGGGGTCGACTGTCACTGTCACTGGTGGAATCCCAAGCTGGCTGGACAACTGATGACCCATAGTGGGTGGCTGTCGCAGGAGCGGCTACATATGATCAAATTGGCCCGGGTGTGTAAGCTACTGATGCCATCTGGCTCATCAGCTGCAGCGGGGATGCCATCTCCATCAACGTTGGAGTCTCGAACTGAGCCCCAAGCGCAGTCAGCATCGGAGCGGGCTGACTCGCGTCCTCCGCCGGGGGCGACAAGGCTGCGCGGGCTCGTTTCCGCAGTCCTGGATGTGTAACAGATGATGGCGCATGCCGTTTGGGCCTCCCCCAAGGCATGTCCTGGGCATGCTCTTTAAAGCACTACATGTATATCTCGAGAATTACATGTCCGATTGGGTGGAAACTTCGTGTATAGCTTGAAGGGAAATGTTTTAGACCTGATGTGAGTTTGACACCATCACGTGGCAAGTCATGTGACATTAAAGGAGCCTTATTTAAAGTGTTACACTTCGTAAAGTACATGTCCGATTGGCTTAAAACTTTGTGTACAGCTGAAGGGGGAAGGGTTTGAGACCCAGATACCGGTACACATAGACCTGATGTGACATTAAAGGGGCACTCTTTAAAGCACTATATCTCGCTAAGTACAAATCCCATTGGGTTGAAACTTTGCAGATGGCTAGAAAGGGAAAGGTTCAAGATGGAAATTCATTTCATCTGATGGTAGTACATGTACCATTATATGACAAGTCATGTTACATTTATCAAGATGACATGGATTTTAAATATCAACCAAGACTTGTGATGTATCGTTCATGTGCACTTGTCATTAAATCTTGCAAGTACTTTGTCCAGAATTTTGTCACTGGTTTTCAGGTTTTAGATCAATAAAACCAGGGCCAAAGCAGCTGTGTTTGTCCACAAACACACTTCTCATTCTTTATTATTCTTTGTTTTATTTTATTTATTTAAGTTTTAAATCTAATTTTGTTTTTATTTTTCATGTTGTCTTTTTTGCCCTAACGGCTGCCCATAGTGATGACCAATTACATGTACTTAGCATGTAGGATATAAAAACTTGTAGAGTCGTAAACTATTGAAGTCCCAAATCATCTGTTTTGAGTGAAATTTCTTTCATCAGGGTAAGGCCTCTTGTTAAAAAAAATAAAATACATTCAGCATATGAATCAATGGTAAATGGTATTTTGTTCTACAATGTAACAGTACATGTACAATGTTCTTGTATTTTCCGCTGAATCTTTGTTTGTTTCTCATATTTTCTACCAAGATAATTTACAATCATAAAACCGAATAATTTGGGGTTAGTTTCAAATTGTTATCAGTAGGCTTGATAAAAGGAAAAAAATATAAACTTTTGTGCTTGTAAACAATGCTTGTCCATGCAAACCTTTTAATTACCATTAACACCAAGCCTCGAATTTCATTTTTATTAGGCCACGGCTGCCATTTGGCATTGGTGGACAGGCTGAAATAAACGGCAGTAATGCCAAACAGGGCATTAATGCCATTAGCGTACCAAAGTTAAGGGCATTAATGCCATCCCAATTTTTTTTATATCCCATGAAAATGTTTCAGGTATAAAAAAAGTAGGATACGCACAGAGCACACCGTATTAGACCAAAAAAGCGCTCAGACAAAATGTAATAACACCATCAATTTTGGTCTGCCATTAACATCTTTTGATCTGCCATATTATATAAAAGCTAGAGTTGTATCATGCAGTGTCAGGGTCTAAATACACCTTTTTCCTGGTCCTACCAGAACCACACGCGCAGCCGCATAGAGCAATCCTTGTTCGGGAGCAGGCCATAACAATTTTGTTTTTGTTTTTTTTTTAGTTTGCCCATTTGGGCAGGCCATGTCGTAAATTTGCTTCATTTCCTACCTTCATGATTTAAGTGAGGCCTACTGCATACATGCAGTATTTTATTAGGCCAAAAACATACATGTGATAGGCCTACATGTAGTTGTGCTGTGCATGCGATATGCCTCAGTATATGGTCAGTAGGTCAGAACATTTTTTTGTGTGGGGGCAATTTGTGCTGATTGAATGGCATCAGTGGGGAGGAAACTTCCAAAAGTATCTCAAAAAGTGATAAACATCTGTCAAAATTTCTACATACATGTACGGCAATACACAAGAAAATTATGAAAAATTCACACAATCACGACAGCAATCACGACGGCAAACTGGCCAACAATGTCCGTGTAGGACCTTATGCAGTAATCTGGTAATGGTATACATGTAGGTTATCGCTTGGTAAGCGGGCGTGATTAATCTAGACCAGCGGGCGCTAAAATGAGCAGAGCAACCTCAAATTTCTCATGAACGAAGCAAATACAGACATAAATAAGAGACAGAGTTCTGTGAATTAACTTGCAGAAAACCTCCTGCAACCATGCTGCAACATAACATTGATGTCTTTCCGGCCTAGAGGGTGCAGACCACTAATTCAAGTGAGAGTTTCTGGCCAGCTCATTAGCATTAAAAGTGCACCCGCAGTATCTTTTGAAAAAGGAGATTGTTTGGCCCCAAAAATGGTGAGATTGTGCAAATCATTGCCTAGATCGACTCCCTGGGTCTTTGAGCTTTCATATGAGAGCAGAATGGCTAAAAACTACGGTTGAAAAATGGTCCTAAGTGCCCGAGAAAATTGAGGGTTGAAAAATGGCAGCAATCAGACTTCGAAAAAAATCACTTATTGGGGGATGATTTTGTTTTGTGGGAATAATTAAAAATGTGATTGGTTAACCCATAAAAAATTGACAAGAATTTCATTTGTTTCAGAAATCTCAGGGATGTTGGCATGCATGTTATTGGGCCCTGAACAGTGCTGATTTTATACTGTTTTCAATGGGCTTGAATTAGTGGACTGTACCCTGAAGCCTTTTTGCATTCGCAATGCGAAGAGTGTTTATGTACAGTACATGCAGTACATGTACAGTACAGACTGGTACTGGTTGCTACATTTGCATGATGCATTCTTTTGCATGGGTGTAGCGCAGCAGGAACTAGAGCAGCTTTGTTTAATGTATAGAGTTTCGCGCACATGTTTTCACCACTGTGACAGCGCGCAAAGAATTATGGGGCAATTTGTGCAAGTGAATACATGCGCAGCGGGCGCGGCGTTCCGGTCGAATGTGAGCAATCGAGGAACGATGTGTATGCCACTTTCCATGTGCCTCGCTGAACAGGGCCAGTTGGTACGCATGTGTAGGACACTATGGCCAAGAGAAAAAAGGGCACTGCCATCCTGGCGGTGAAACACGATCACTTTTGGGAGGCACCACAGCCAAATGGGAGGGCACCGACGGCCATGGCCATTAATATAAGCTAGAGTTGATTACAAACTTACATTACCGAGTATTAAAGTTAATACGTCACGCCCACAATTATTTGTGGAAAAGGCAGCAGCATGAGAACCAGCGCGAGAACCAACAAATGCGCATACTCCATCAATTTGCACTGCACTTCCTGGTTCAGTTTGGTACTCTATTCCAAGAACACTACTCCCATTTGTGTACTTACCACTAGAACGTGGCCTGTCTCTTCTAGAGGGTTTTGTACTCAACCTACTGCTCATTGTAATGACCCTGATGGTTGTGTGTAGTTCTCAGATCTCCTGTAATGTGGAAAGGAAATGCAGAATGTCAGCATGCACATGTATTTTCTTCTACAAAAGCCCCACCAGTTTGCTAAAGAAAAATGGTATTTGCCCGTGCAAATTTTGCAAAAGAGTACTCAGAATGTATATTCTGCAACAATCGAGGACTGAAACAGTAGAAATAGAAAAAATACATTGGGTAAATGTCATGCAAAAGTATTTCAGCTTCAAGTGCACAGCACATACATGTACATATACCATACTATACACTACATGTACATGTATATGCAGCCTCAAAATAATCATTTGATTGTAGACCTGTAGCTTAATGTCCATCCAAATGAGATTGACCGTGTAGCAAAATGTCCCCGAGTGAAGGTGAAATAGCCTTGAACTTCTGCACACTCTGTTTTACAACGTTCCAAAATTTCATTGCTCAGTCCAAGTTGACCATGGCTGGGTCCAAGTTGGTACATGTACATCTAGTCAATATGGTAGGTCGTTAGATCTGAGTTGACTCTATTTCGTTCTGATTGCTTCCCGGACCATTTTGCTCCTTTAACACTGTGCCCCCCATTCCTGCTTTGCTCCATTAACACTTTGCCCCACATCAACTTTGTCACTTAAAATCAAAAGATTTACCAATGATGATTTACATGTTAATGAAAACTGTTCTGACTTGAGTCACTGAGAGCAAATGGCTCCACTAGACTCAAGGACCTCATCAGAAGACTGGACTCGAGTGAAGGCTAATAAGACTCGAGTCTCAATAAAGAAAACAACTTAGCAAAAATGCAATGACTCACAGTACTGATTTATTGTATTTTCATCATGCCACAAATATGATTTCTTAGACAGATACCCTGTTTCGCGGCAGTCAACTTCTGTTGGCACTACTCAAATACAACAAACATGCACCATGTTATGAACCCCCCTGTGGTTCTGTAGCATGTAACGCTAATCTGGAACTGGAGGTTTCATCAATGGTCTTGGTAATTTCTTATTACATGTAGGTTAGACTCTAGGTGGAATGCCAGCTAAATTTATGCTCTGATTGCCTTGGTTCAAAAACACAAATACATAGACACTACATTTACATAATAAAATCAGATTTGAATAGTGCAATTCCTTTTTGTTTTGCCACTGATTGAATTTTGCCACCTCCACTGGATGGCAATCACTGGCACCCTTTTATTTTCATGAAGAGTAAGATCCGATCTTTCCTATTCAGATGGTTCAAAGCCAAATATTGAAATGAAGGTTTGTTTTGGAGTTTTGTAATATTTGATAAGAGTAACCCGTCTCCTATTTCATTCCAAGTAATTCACGGGATCAGATTTTTAAAATATCATTTTCTTATCAATTTTGATGATAGCATTATTCATGCCTGGTCAGAAATGTTGAAACAATGTCAGAAACAAAGACATAAAGCCACCAGAATAATATCATATTGTTACCTTATACTTTTACCCCAATTGGTTCATGTACATACCACTGGAGAGGTCTTTTCTGCTGATTTCACAAATACCAATATCTCAATTGACATACAACATAATGACGTAATGCAGTGTTTACCGCAGTGCATTGAGGGTGAAAGGTAGGGATGTTGCAGGAACGCGTCAACGCGACACGTTATGTGTAACGTATACTTTATGGCGTGTGTATCAACCTGACACAAAAAAATTTAAAAATTCTTGATTATCGTCCGAAATGGTCCATGCTAACTGTTGTGTTCCATTGTTTTTATCAAGCACTCAACAAACGCCAGAGCTGCGTTTTTTTTAAACTTCCACGGGACCGCAAAAGGTGATAAATTTGAATAAGTTCCGTGAGAAATAAGGCCATCAGAGCCAAGTCCAAGTGGACCTCTGAATGCAGGGGGTTGTTTCCCGGCAAAATGAACAACGAAGAAGCTTTCCTGCGACTACAAACCTAAAACCACTGCCAATCTCGCAGCCAAAACAAGCTTCAAGTTCGAGTTCAATATGCAAGCGGCGGCGAACAACTAGGACCAGTACAAAGGCGGGCTTGTCTCCCGACATGCCCGAGGGTATGTAGGTAGAGTAGGCCCTATGCATGCTTGGGCTGGCATGCTAACCTTGCTAAGTTAAGTTCATCTGCGTTCACAGATGAAATGGAAAAAGAGGCAAAGATTTCCATGACAAGTTAGGTAGTTCTGTGTTGTACCAGCAAAATCATGAGGAGAAATTTCACATCTGAAGTTCTCAAATCATGCCTGAAGAGAAAGGCAGCTTCTTCGTTGTTCATTTTGCCAGGAAACAACCCCCTCCCACTCACTTGTCCACGGGAAAATCGTTGGATCCGGTACATCGCAAGTTTTGTCTTTGCCTACAAAATGTAGACTGCATCCACTTGGACTTCACTTTGATGGGCTTATTTCTCACGGAAATCTGTCGCCTTTTGCGGTCCCGTGGAAGTCCCATGCAGCTCTGGCATTCGTTGAATGCTTGATAAACACAATGGAACACAGCAGTTCACATGGACCATTTCAGACAATAATCAGGAATTTGTTATTTTTTTCGTGTCAGCTCGACACACACGCCACATAGTATACGTTACACATAACATGTCTCGTTGACGCGTTCCTGCAACATCCCCACCTTTCACCCACAATGCACCGCGGTGAAAAATGCATTACGTCATTATGTTGTACGTAGGTCTATTTGTGAAAATTCTGACTTTCACCTCATGTTGTGAGACAGGTCACATTTCATGCACATGTATTGTGTTCAATTATTTGATTTAAATTGACTCAAACTGAACACTTGACTCAAACTGATTCAACTACAGGCTGTGACTCAACTTGACTTCTTTACCCAATAACTCAACTCATCACATTAAAATGGTTCAACACTACTTTAGTGAGTCATTACAACTCTGACTGATAGTCCATGAAGATAATCTTCGACAATAAAGGTGATTACTGCTTTCAAACATGCAACTTGGACTTGAGGAAATTCCAATTTCAATTCTTAACAAGACTTTATACAGTATTTTTCAATTTTCAATGGCATACATGCAACTTTGAAGTGAAAAATGAGAAAGTTAGGGCCCAATTTCATGGCACTGCTTACCGCAGACTTCCGCACTTACAATCTCCATTCTGCGCTAACCACACTGGCAGAAAATTTCTGTGCTAACATTTTAAGCACAGAATCCTTAGATACAGGATGTACACATGCCCACAAGCAAAAATTCCGTGCTAACCCGTGAAATACGTTCACCTTATAAGCAGACAAGATGAAACACACAATAAAAAAAATGCTGGTGTGTGTGTACACCTAAGCCAGAAGGAATTTATTCATCATAATGATGTGTCGGGCACCAAAATTTTGCATGCGACACATTATATCAATATCCATTCTTTGGGCACCCACAAAGGCCCAGAAACATATCTCTAAGCACCATTTGACTCAGAGCGTCCATTCTATATGAATTCTTTGAGCACCCACAAAGGCTCAAAGTGCCCATAGTTCCAAGCACCATTTGACCTGGAATACCATGTTTATCATTGTTCACTGTTTGGGCTTCCACTAAGGCCAAAGAGCACTAACAGCGTCAAGCACCATTTGACTTGGAGCACCACAGCTCAATGACCTTATGATAGGCCGAAGCGACAATTTGTTAGGACAGTGCCAGAACACTCAAAAAACTTCACCAAGCTGTAATAATTATAATTTACAGGTATGAAAAGTCAGCAAAATGAGTTTACCTACACCATTCTTTCTTCGTTTGCACTTACAGAAGAAAGAGTGGTTTATCCTCCCCTGTTGCACTACTCAAGGGGAGACATGGTTTACAGCCACCATTATACACCATAGCTACTCCATGGAGTAACTTACATCATGCATCACAATGAACTTACTCTCGTCTACGTATTATTTAAGATTTCATACTGTCAAGAATAACAAATCATTCATAAGCTACATGTATGGGGGTGTTTTATCCACTTTAATGAAAATGCCACACACGCAAGGTGCCGCCTAAGGAAGAAAACACCCCCAAGCATAAACCAATTACCCCGAGGTAGGCAGTAAAAACTGCCTAATGGCAGTGCAAAGGTTCCCTCTGAAAATTGCATTCCCTTCCGGAGATAAATGGATGCCATCAGGCCTATACAGGTTGAAAAACGTCCTGTGAAATTGGTCGTGCCTTACCGAAATGGCACCAAGCCATTGGCAACGAGAGCGCGCCCACCTGTTGACAGCTCTCCTCTGCCTGTCCATAGCCTCCTGGGGGTTAGCCCCAAAGTAAAATGCCCTGGGCAAGATTTCGGACCAGAGCAAAAATGCTTGGGGGTAAAGATCTTGACAGACATGCATAAGAAGAACGACTCTCTGTTGTATGGAGAAGAAATCAACTTGACCCAAATCATTAGTACCTTAATTAATGAACCACGATTATGGAGGATGGAGGACCTTGTATATCATAAATAAATCTGGAAGGTCACATATACTGACGCCACTCTTGCCATGTCAAAGTACTGAACTAGAAACCTCGAGGGGTCTTGCTGCCCAACGAATTATTGAATCCCCAATGATCCACATGGGCCCTGTGAAGGCTGATAAATGATGCTAAGAATATTAAAGGGGGTCAAGCTCGGGGCACGAACAGTCTTTTAAATTAAGCATTGGGGATGTTGACCACAGGCACAGGCGAATGTAGGTGAAAACTGTGTCGGACTGCCAACGGCCCATCCTTTGAATATCAGTGAGTGAAACACCCAAGTTGTAGGCCGTTGTGGCGGCCCCAATGCTAAATGAGTGAGCCCAATAGTGTAAGTCGTCTTTCCCACAGACAGCCAATATCCTTTTCAAGATTGCATTGAATTGGTAGGCAGTCAGTGGGGACCCATCAAAGTGGAAAACAGATGGCCGAGGCCAAAGGTATGACCTGAAATATACTCATGCAGGGTCATGGCCAGACACAATTTGGAGTTGTGGCTAGCCTGTAGTTCAATTTTTTGAGGGGAGTCAGTTTTGTTGTTTTTGCTACAT